TAAAGTCTGCTGTGTGGGTTTCATAGTATAGGTGCACATCATGGCACACATGCCTCCTTTTGCACCTTCCTCCAGCAATGACAGGATCAAGCTCCTGTTGCTGCACCATCTGCCACCATCTTCCCAGCACTGCTTCCAGGTCCAGCTTCACTCCTCTTTGGTCATTGGGTGGCCATTGTTGGTGCAACTCAAATACACAGGACTTCTCTACACCCATCTCCATTTTCTGCGTCTTACAGAGCAGGGACTGTACATGTGTACCAAGAAAATAAAAACTTGTAGCAAAGTTTTACAGAAAACCAGACTTTGCCCATTCACACTGCCAAAAAAAACTCTTTATCCTAGCAATTTTCAGCACTAGTTGTGCTTTAACACTGATATAACATTTATTCCCAGTTAACATTTCTACTAAGTAAATATCATTTGGAAGAAGTGGGCACTTCATGGGAGATATGATAATAGGTATTTAGTCTCAGTAATGGCTGATATGTGAAAACATGGTAACCGCAGAAACTGGAATGAACTAGATATTTTGCACCATCAGCGTTTACTTCCCATATAAGTTGATGAGTCAAACGATGAGAAAACCACTTATATCACAATATCTAAAGAGTCTTTATTCAATCAATATTGCCTTAACTGTTACAGCCATACAAATCATTAACCTGTCACTTGGTAACCCATATAAGGAATTACTCATACACGGAAATTACTCAAATTTCGTCTGCAAGAAACTATACAATGGAGAAAACACGAGTACAATAAACTATTGTGGGATCTGGAATTGCTGTACTCTTTCTGAAAATGCTGATTGCTTGGCTGCAATGCTGATTTAATACCAACAATCAGGTCAGTGAATAAGAATGTACAGAAGACTAAAACATTCATGTAGCCAGCATTTCTAAAGAAGGCCAGCATCCTAAACTTGTACCTACAATATGGTTGGAGAGAATGAGAGGTGGGCTTATAAATAAAAATTAATTTAATAGTTATTTACATGTAAATGTAAAAATAATAGAACTATAAAAAACAAAACTTATCAACTGCAGCACACAGGAGGCCTCATCTATCTTAGTCTTGTTGGGACAGTCCTTATTAAAGGAGGCTAACAGCAGAGGTAGAAGCAAAAAGTCCAAGCGCTAGGACCCAGATATATGGGGGCCACTTGCCCACGGCTGCTAGTGTCACACTGGAGGAAGTCGACGACTTGATAAAGTGCATGCACGCAAAATGCGTTGCGGTTACCAGCGAAGCTTGTGGTCCAAGCCCAGTGGCTGACTTCTGCTTCCTCCCAGGATCTTGTGACATCACTTCCAGGGTGCCGCGGTTTGGGGAGCAAAAAGAAAGGGTGAGGAACAAAAAGGCCCTTCTCTAAACCAGTGTGTTGTGACGTCACTTCCGGAGCGCCGCAGTTTGGGAGGCAACAAGAAAGGCGAGGAACAAAAAGGCCCTCCTCTAAACCAGTGTGAACAGCGGAAAACCAAAACATCTGCAAGGAATAAAGTATCTACGCCTTGGGGTCATATCTAACCCAGCTGATCAGGTATAACTAATTTGCATAATTCAGATCTACTCAGATGGAATCTTCAGATTGGTCCATCTCTAATAGGAAGTGAACAAACTGCTTCAACAGTTGAGTGGATTCAGCATTACCATTGTGCTGTGCTGGAGCCATATACTGTATGCCATTTATAAAATGCATGACAATCCAGAACAGCAATTGTAAACCAGCAATTTGTGGAATCCTATGATTCCTCTAGAGTTTGCTAGGGGTTCCTCGACCTGTGGCTAATTAACCTATCATTTGATGGTGCTTGCATCGTTTTGGGGCCAACACCATTTGGCAAAGCCAGCAGCATGATACCAATGATCTTATTAGCTGTCTGTAAGGGTGATATTCTGACCATGTAAGGGGGCATTCTTGTGACTGACTACTAATGTAAGGGTAATTTTTCCCTTGACCCCCATTAATTGGTTTAGCACAGGTTCTCCTGAGACCTGAAACTAAAATAGAGGATTCCACTATGGTTAAAAAGGTTGAAAAAGGCTTGTCTAGGCTGCACGCATATATGTGTGGGCTTTAATGCCGAGCGACCTCATATATGCGGCCCTGTTAAAACTACTTACTGTGTTGAGAGCATGCTCCCTGCACAAACCCAATGTGGTGGCCAGCGGTGGTCGGTAAGCTCCATATCCATCCTTGCAATCAAGAGTTTTCTGATCATGTGACTACTGTGACAGCCAATTACAGGGGTCACAGGGGTCACAGTTTTTAGAACCCTTAAAGGCGGTTAACACCAAGGGGTTAATTAAGAATTTGTTCACTCTCTGAAGTTGCTGATCAGATGTGACTTGTTAGTTATGCCATCACTGCAGAATTCTCAAACTCGAATACAACACGTCTGAAGTAAACTCCTAGGTGGGTTGCTTTTCAGCTTAGTCCTGGACCATAGATAAAGGTTTATGCCGAAGGGATCTATGGGAAAACCTTTGTAAACACGGTATAATGCAATATCTGCTCTATTTTCATGTTCATTACATGAATAATTTGTTTGCATCTTTTGGGCAGTTCGAGAGCAGATCATCTAAAATAACTGTTCATCCACAAAAGCATACCACTTGATATACTGTATATCTATGATTTGTGCTATCTAGCAGCCCAGGACGCCATAAGTAATGGGAATATTTTAAAACAATGCATTTTTTTTAATTGTAATCTGAATTGTTTACTTTTTACTTTTATTCTACAGGATAGTGGTGTAGTCTAAATTCTGTAAGAGAAAAGTAAATGACTATTACAGCTGTTCTCCTTGAAGGGAATTTGAATTAGAACACAATGCTTGAGTGAGGCAACTTTAAAGCAGGAAATGCACCTTGGCATACCATCTCAATGGTGCTCATGTACCGTACACAATGTATACACCTATTGGAAAATTTTCATCAATAGACAAAGGTAAAATTTGTCAACAGTGAATTCCTCCCGTGGAATGGGGAAGAAGAGAATTGAGAACTGGGAAAAGAAAACATCTTTGTTACAAAGGATACGTGTATTCAAAAGCTGAGGGCTGTTTTCCACTGAAAAGGGTGCACAAATAATGCACATCCTTCAGGGCAATGAAAAAGAGTAAAGTGAGTAAAAATGTCCTGGATCCAGGGGATACATACAGTGATTTGGGTCCTTCAGAAGGCCAAAGACATACAGGGAGCATAAGCAGAAAGACAACATTATCGTTTCTAAGCACTTCAAGACACTGCTGGCCAATGCAGGACTGTATTGAGATATTCTGCTGCCCAAGCAACACTTAAAAGACAATGTCTTTTTGTACATGCTCCACAATAATTTAATAATATCTATAAATAATAATAAATGTCTTCCAAAATGAGACAATGTTGGCAGCAGCATGCAGTTGTGTGTCATTCAGCCTGCATTCACAAAAAATAAGGATCTGAAGAGGAAGAGAACCTGCACATCACATGACTAGACCAAAGAGGTATGGAAAATAAAAAAAAAAGCAAAAATGTACACAGGGGTCTGCAGGGGAAGGCCTGGATAGATGAGCCAGGAAAGAAGATGGAGTACGCTGACTAGGTTCATTGATAATGACTCCGTACGGAGTTGCAATAAATTTACCAGGGCACTGAAGAAGAGATTGAGGAAACCAAGGTGGCTAGGTAAGTAGCATATTCTCATGAGTATTGGAAATCGTGCCAATAAAACCACATTTAACGGCACTGCTGGCCTTTGCATTTTAGAGCTGCAGAGCTACTTTTTTTTACTAATATGGGGGATGCAACTGGAGGAACTGGAATGCACAAAGGTGGGCAGAAACACCCAAAACTTCCAGGTGGACAGGAATATGGTGTAAGGAGTTATGGCAGGGAAATCTCTCTATTAAGTATCCAAAAAGCTAGGTGCTTAATTAGTTCACCAGGCTCCACCAACAACTAAAATATCACTTTTGGGTGTATTGAAATTTTACCTCTTAGCCCATACTTTCACTTAACATCACATTACATTCGCAAGCCAGAACAGAGGTCACATCTTTCTAACTCCATGCAGAATTCAAGCATGAGACCTGTTGGAAAAAAATGTTAATACATTTCAAAAAACGTGAACAAAAAAAAGGCAGCTTGCAAAAAACAAGGATATGCTATTCCAATGAATTATAAGGTATGTATAAAATTGCAGCCATCCATAATAGGGACAGTTTTTCAGGAAACTAATCATAAACTCTAGAAAAAATTGAGGCAAAAATAGCTGATCATATAATGGACCAGAAGAAAGGTGGCTAGAGGCAAGGTGCTGAAAAGGAAGTCATGCTCCTCTATTCTAATTTGATAAAATAGATGTTGGTGGAGCGCTGGACCTAAAAATAACTGTGATTTGGTGCAATAACTAGTTTTGAGAGACAGCCCTAGAGGTTCCCTGGAATGATCTAACAAACCTTTGAAGGATGAAAGTGCCACAAGTCTACAAATGGTCCAGTAAGAAACTATTAATCTTGACAAAAAGTCAGTAGGTACAGCCAACATGTTTCAGGAGCTTGTACATCTTTCTTTATCAGGGCTAAGAAATAGAATGATACAAAACAATATCAATAGATAAATTCTAGAAGAATGTAATAAGGTGCAAAGTTTATTACATTATTAAACAGTGTAGGAACCCTATTTGGTGTACAGGAAGATCATACACTTAAGAAGAACAACCTGTAAAAAAAAGGAAACACACAAACATATTAACATTTACAGAATATATACATCATTTTTTACTGCACCATTTATAGACTTGAGGCACTGTCATTGGGTCATTCTGGAGAAGATGATTTCTGTATGGAAGGATGCAAAGGAGCATCCTTCTCAGACTTGAAGAATTTATCTAAGCTTAAATACTATATAGGAATGGCAGCTTATCCCCCCAGCAGTGCAGCAGGTACGTCCAACACGTTTCAGAGGTTCACAAATTTCCCTTCATCAGGGCTAAGAAATAGAATAACATAATAAAATTAATTATAACAATAATATTATACACTATATTGCCAAAAGTATTGGGACACCCCTTCAAACCATTGGATTCAGATGTTCCAATTAGCCCCATGGCCACAGGGAATAAAATCAAGAACCTAGGCATGCAGACTACTTCTACAAATATTTGTGAAAGAATGGGTCACTTTCAGGAGCTCAGTGAATTCAAGCGTGGTACCGTGATAGGTTTACACCTGTAATAAGTACATCTTTCCTTGCTACTAAATATTCCACGGTCAACTGTTAGTGGTATTATTGTTAGTGGTATTATAACAAAATGGAAGCAACTGGAAACAACAGCAACTCAGCCACGAAGTGGTAGGCCACAAAAAATGACAGGACGGGGTCAGCATATGCTGCAGCTCACAGTGTGCAGAAGTCTCCAACTGTCTCTAGAGTCAATAACTAAAGACCTCCAAACTTCATGTGGCCTTCAAATTAGCACAACAACAGTCTGTAGCAGGGGCGGACTGACCATTGGAAACTCGGGCACTGCCCGAGGGCCCGAGGTCAGTAGGGGGCCCCATGAGATGCCCCTGGTACCTTTTTCATAGGCTTTTTTGAGTTTGGGCAAAGACACAGGGGCCCCATGATCCTCTATTGCCCGGGGGCCCCATGAGTTGTCAGTCCGCCCCTGGTCTGTAGAGAGCTTCATGGAATGGGTTTCCATTGCCAAGCAGCTGCATCCAAGCCTTACATCACCAAGTGCAATGCAAAGCATTGGATGCAGTGGCGTAAAGTACGCGGTCACTGGACTCTAGAGCAGAGAAGATGTGTTCTCTGCAGTGATGAATCATGTTTCTCTGTCTGGCAATCTGATGGACATTTCTGGATTTGGCGGTTGCCAGAAGAACAGTACTTGCCTGTCTGCATTGTGCCAAGTGTAAAGTTTGGTGGAGGGGGGATTATGGTGTGGGGTTGTTTTTCAGGGGTTGGGCTTGGCCCCTCAGTTCCAGTGAAAGGAACTCTTAAGGTGTCAGCATACCAAGACATTTTGGACAATTTCAGGCTCCCAACTTTGTGGGAACAGTTTGGGGATGGCCCCTTCCTGTTCCAATATGCGCACCAGTGCACAAAGCAAGGTCCATAAAGACATGGACAGCGAGTTTGGGGTGGAGGAACTTGACTGGACAGCACAGAGTCCTGACCTCAACCCAATAGAACACCTTTGGGATGAATTAGATCGGAGACTGCGAGCCAGGCCTTCTCGTCTGACATCAGTGCCTGACCTCACAAATGCACTTCTGGAATAATGGTCAAACCTTCCCATAGACACCCTCCTAAACCTTGTGGACAGCCTTCCCAGAAGAGTTGACGCTGTTAAAGCTGAAAAAGGTGGGCCAACTCAATATTGAACTCTATGGACAAAGACTGGGATGCCATTATAGTTCATGTGCGTGTAAAAGCAGGCGTCCCAATACTTTTGGCAATATAGTGTATTAAAGTGTGTACATATATATATATATATATATATATATATTGGATCATTTATTGACAGGCATGGCTGTGGCACTTTCGTACATCTCACTTTCCTTGGACCATTCTGATTAGATGTCATTAGAATATGTTCTCTGTTTAGAAAAATGCAATATATCACCATTCCTCTAAGCTTAGACTACATAAGGATGGCAGCTTTTACTCCCAGCAGTGTTGGAATTCATTGCTAAGCTATGAAAGACACTTGCCAAATAAACTCTTCATACATTGGATTATTCCAATGAACTTAATGGGAGCATATTAACATATCCCAACCCCATAGCAGCCTCATTACAGTAAGCAGATATTGGTTCTTAGAAGCACCTGAGACTCGGACTGCTCTGCTAGGTAGGGGAGGAACACCCTTGCTGACTCACCTTTTACAATGAAGCTATATAAGCACCTGACAGTGAAGGAGTAACCAGTTTGTATACTCAATCTACACAGCACTGACTGATCCAATGACTGAGAGGGAGTGTTAAGAGAATAATAACAGTGCAGTATCTTGAACTGTGCTGTGTTCACAACATCCCAGCAAAGACATCCCGGAGTTTTAACTTCACAACTCAGGAAAACTTCTGGTAGGTGAACAATTCTAAATCGACATCATGGGTGCAGATAATGGGAAAAAGCAAATCTCTCTGTTAAACATTTTGTAGTTTAGATAAATAGGCAGATATTGTATTCTTCTGCACGTGCTATTATTCTGATGTAGAATTAGTCAAATGGTTTATCGGTCAGATTTTATTTTAGAAGTTTAGGAATTTCGTTTGATTTTGTTTAATGTCATTGGTCTAGGTCTTTAGTGGGCACATTTAGGCCACTTTTTTTAGAGTAATATAAAGAGTAATGATAATGTTCAATTCACACTAACTCATAGAAATATTAATTTGCTTTTTTAAAGGTTCAGTGTATTAACAGCAATAAGAGACAGCTTCTAGTTTTGTTTGTGGTTGGCTACTGCAGTTGTGAATTGCGATTTATTTGGTAAATGAAGTTTAAATGGAACCCCATTTTTGTCTGTAGAAGAGTGGATTCATATATTCTTACACGAATAAATGTTTTATAATAGTGATTTTTGATCAGAGCAAGCTTTTTTAATATATGTATCCAAAGATCTAGTTTCACTTTATTACACCTTTTATAAAGTGCTATGTATTGTCAGAGAATATAAAAACACATTTCCTAACTAATAGACAGTGGTCAAAGTCATGACTTGGAGACTACATGATGAAATATGAATTCTAAAGACTTTTGAACCTAAAAGAAAATATCACCCAGATAATGATGTTCTTTGATCCACTGGAGAATTCTTAGCCCTCAGCTAAGGTCCAGCAAGGTGTATCAGCTGGCAACACAGAAAGGACATCAGTCCTGAGGCCTTCAAGAGTGGTGGGATCTACAAGTCCAGCTGAAAGGAGGCGCTAAAGATGAGCATCTACATGACCTCAAGGTGATGACAATTGCAAATCCTAGCATGCTTTGTAAGCTCCAATCAGAGAAGGTTTATTAATATGCACAGTTGTAACAGAACACATTAGTTTCAATCTACATCGGCATGGCATGCTGAGATGACAAGTCCCCCTGAAGGTGAAGAGCCTGCAACATGTTAAAGTAGATCCAATACCTACCTGGATAAAAATTAGTTTCCAATAAACTGCCATGCTTTTTCTTAATCAAATTTTCAAGTCAGAATAATACTGATCTCCTCCAACCTCTTTCAGCCACTTTCTGTCCTGCACTTGCTTGGCTTTATTTCATTATCGTAGACGGGCTTCCTGATGGTGAGAAGGATGGACAATCTGTGCTGACGCGGCAACTTGTAGTCTAAGTCTGGTGCACGTGTGACTTGATGACAACGCAGGAACACAGTTGGGAGATAGTTGTCACCCTATGAAAGGAATTGTCTTTACCTTCCTAGTAGGATCACCAAGTATTGTTTTAATAAAAGTTGAGATTTAAAAAGAAGGGATTGGTGTGAGAAGTGAGAACTAATTTAACTTGCAATGAACAGAGTGCAATGGCAGTTATTAGCTGCATATTTTGCATTACATTCGGCAGCTACAGTATTCCTAGTACTGTTCCTTTATGGGTCATGCTCTGCTCAGTACATATACAAAGTGTCTTATTTTTTTTTGGTGTGTGTGAAGTTTTATCTGAGGTGTGGCAGCAAGTCGTAGCTGAGATTCCTGTAAAAATCAGACTTGCTCTGCTCTCTAGGAATGTCTGAATAGTAACATAGATGCCTCTTTATAGCTGAAGCTTTTAACTGTGCATCAAAGTGTGCATTTCACAATATCACATCCAATTACTATGATTTAAGTTAAGCCTTTATCAAAAGCCTAATTGAAGGTAGCGTGAACAAAATAAATATAGACAACATACATAAGAGTGTGCTTGTGAATTTGCAGGAAGCATTGTATTGCTGCCAAGTGTAATTAATATACTAAAGCTAGCCATACACAGCTAGATTTCACTTGTTCAAACTGCGGGGTGAAGAAGAGATAATCAATAGATTCCAGTATCCATACTTAACATCTGTACTGCTGACTATTGTATTTAAGCAGCCATAACACATCTCATAGGAAGCAGTCGCTGTTTGGCCACCAATTTTCCGCCCAACTCCTTAGATTTTTCATTCACATTTTGCCAAGCTCACATTTCAGCTGAGCATTAATAAACTGCCATGGTAGGAAACAAAATGCTATGCCTTGTCTATGCACTGGGACTATGTTGGGCAAGGCTGCCCAGTGCAACCCAATACATCCCAATACATCTGCTGTGAACAGGCCTTTAAATTGTAAATCACTTTAAAAAGTAATGCTACTTTTGCTGAGGAAAAAACAATCCTCACTGGGTGATCAATGAACATTTCAGAGAGTTTAACAAACTTTGTTGCAGAATCCTACCTTTTTTTTCTGCTCTGTGTCCTTTGAATACTGATTATGAATGGGAGAGACTGGTTCAGTAAAATCAGCTGATGCACCTTAGTGTTCTAAAGAGAAAAGCTGAAGGCTTTGTAACCCTTTAGAAGCATTTAACCCTTGAGGAGTATCTCACCAAAACTGAAATTCCTATTGCGGGGGGGGGCCTAAAAGTTATTTGTACACTAGTGCGTATTCTGGGAAAATCAGTGAGCCAATCACACAAGCAGGAAATTACATTTCTGAGGGCATTCTGTGCACCAATATCATTAGTCTCCAAAAATAATCCATACACATCCACTATTTATTGGCTCCGTAATCTATTTTTCTTGAAATAATTTCTTATTGTGCTTTTCTGCCTCCTTGTAATGTTCTCTAAGCCAGTGTTTCTCAGCCTTTTTTCAGTCAAGGCATCCTTTAAAAGTATGGACAGTCTTGAGGCGCCCCATTCTAAAATGTGAAAAACTATTCTGATAGTTTTATATAACACTGCAACATCCACACATGTAGGACACCCAACATTAGAGGCGATTTATTCTTCCAAAGCAAATACACTTTTGCACACTGGTACTGACTAGTATTCCAATGTTTCTCTTCTCCCTCAGTTTTTCTCCAGCACTGAGCTAATGTGACCCCAGCATTGATGGAGAGGGGTGGGGAGGGTCAAACTAGGATGCTGTGCAGGCGCCAGACATCCTCCTTATTAACTGATATGTAATTGGTTGTCAGGATGCCAGCGGCTAGAAGGTCGTAATGGTGCCCAATGAAAACCTGGGACTTTGTTTATCTAAAAGGCAGGCTTGTATACAAGTTTTGGGCAATTTTTAGACATTTTGCCAAGGCACCCCTGAAGAAACCTCAAGGCACCCTGGTTGAGAAAGGCTGCTCTAAGCAGTGTACGTTAGTTGTGGTCTGTCATGTACACTGTTCTATGCACACTACAAATCCCACAGTCCATAGTCTATCTCAAGAGTGAGCAAGAAAGGGTGGCTATGCTCTTACATACAGTGGGACCATGGAAAAGGAATGTAGCCACTCTCTAACAGGAAACTGGCTTCCAGCAGCAAAAGAAAGGAATTTGGAGATTTGGAGGAGGCTGAGAGCAACAGAAGAAATGTTTTTGAGTTAGGAACATACAGTATACTTGAATAGAATTTTCTTTCTTTACATTACCACATGGCTTGTGTAGCAATCGTATATGCTATTATATTTTATTTGCTACATTTTTTCCCAGGCAAGTGGAGTTACCCTTAAAGTAATGCCGAAGATATATTCCCATCCACAAAATGTCAGCTGTGGATCTGATCTGATATATACACACACACAAGGGGTTAGACAGGAAAAAAAAATGAACACTACATGATTCGCAGGTGTGAAAGTGACATGTTTGGCGTTGAAAGCAGAAGTGATATAACTTTTTTTTTCGCTTCCGCTGTGTGATGAGACACCTAGCTAACAGGTGGGAAGCCTCACTTTCGTCATTCACTGTGTGTGTTGCTAGTAATACGGAGTCATGTCAGCTTACTGAGCTTCAAAGAGGGCAAATTGTTGGTGCCCACTGGTTACTCTGTAACTGACATTTCCAATTTATTTTGTGCAAGGTACAGAATCAAAGGTTATGGTGGCATATTCAGTTTCTGGGAAAACATCATCTGATAAGCATAAATGCGGTGGACATGGTCAACTGACCAATAGAGACAAAAGAACATTGTGCAGGATTGTGACCCAGAATAAGAAAACAACTGCTGCAAAAGTGACTGCAGAGCTCAATCTCAGTCCTGTCATAACCTTTGATACTGTACCTCGCAGGCACCAACAATTTTCCCTATTGAAGCTCTGTAAGCTCTGACATGACTCCATATTACTAGATGTGCAAGCAGTGAATGAAGAAAATGAGGCAACCCACCTGTTAACTAGGTGTCTCATCACACAGCAGAAGCAAAAGAATGTTACATCACTGCCGCTTTCAACGCAAAACATGTCATCTCTTCCACACCTGCAAATCAGGTAGTGTTTCCATTTTTCTGGCGTGCTTTACACCACTGTATCCAACGCTTTGCATTGTACATGGTGATGTAAGGCTTGAGTACAGCTGCTCGGCCATGGAAACCCATTCTATGAAGCTCTCTACGCACTGTTGTGCTAATCTGAAGGTCACACAAAGTTTGGAGATCTTTAGCTATTGACTCTGCAGACAGTTGGCGACTTCTGCACACTGTGCGCTACAGCATGCGCTGAGCCCGCTCTGTCATTTTACATGGCCTACCACTTGGTGGCTGAGTTGCTGTTGTATCAAGTTGCTTCCACTTTGTATAATACCTCCAGTTGATCGTGGAATATTTAGTAGCAAGGAAATTTCACAGATGGACTTATTGTACAGGTGGTATAAACCTATCACGGTACCATGCTTGTTTCATGAGCTCCTGAGAGGACCCATTCTTTATGTTTGTAGAAGCAGTCTGCATGTCTAGGTACTTGAACTCATACAAATTCACAGGCCACTCCATGGACTTGAACAGTTAATCATGAGCACACTGCTGCCTTGTAATCATATGCATGATGAAGAGAACTGGAAAAAAAGGCGCTGTGGAAAATGCTTCACTTAGTGAGGTGCTCTTTATTGGGTGAGATAAAGTAGCAAGTATAATAAAATTAACCAGCCTGAAGTGGACCATTCTGAGGGGAGCTGATTTGAAGCCGACAGGAATCTTTGATCTAGCTCCCCTCAAGCGGACGGGCAGTCTATTGCATGTCCACTTCAGGCTGGTTAATTTTATTATACTTGTACAATAAAGATGCACCTCCACTAAGGTGCTTGTCTGAGAGAGCATTTTCCACAGCGCCTTTTTTTGTGGCCATGGAGGTGATTGGAACACCTGAATCCAATGATTTGGAGGGATGACCCAATACTTTTGGCAATATAGTGTGTGTGTGTATCAGGGGCGGACTGACAACTCATGGGGCCCCCGGGCAATAGGGGATCATGGGGCCCCTGTGTCTTTGCCCAAACTCAAAAAAGCCTATGAAAAAGGTACCAGGGGCATCTCATGGGGCCCCCTACGGACCCCGGGCCCTCGGGCAGTGCCTGAGTTTCCAAATGGTCAGTCCGCCCCCGATACATACACTATATTACAAACCCATTACATTTGACCATAATTTGGAATATGTATACAGATTGCACAAGGATGATTTGCGTAGTGCTGATTGTCTATTGTGACAGACGATCTTGTCACTCCCAGACGGCCATACTCAATTTTGAACACATTGCACAACAAAATCCCTCGCTTTCTATTTAAATTCTTGTGACGTGTGACTCAACCTGTGTGCGTGTTAGACTGGCTTGTACTAGCAGTCTGGATGATACTGCCTGGGTGGGGCGAAATAGTAAACTCTCAGTACGAAACTGTCACCCGGCAGCTGATGGTCACGTAGGCTCTGGGATATGCAACACAACAAGTGCCTGTAGTCATAGTGTAAGATTAGAGGACAGCGTACACAAAGACTTCCTACATAGTCTTCAACAATGAAGCATCTTTTTTTTTTTTTTTTCCTTAAAATACTAGTATGCAGAAACAGGTTTTCTAAGTAACTATTTCTGAGATAGCTTAGGATCTTCTTCAACCCAGCTGATGCTATTTTCTTGCAGCGTTGACTGCCTGCTTGCATGCAGGAAAGTAGAGACTCTAGGTCTAGCTGGAATTATACTATTGTTGCACAAATATATTTTTCTTTAGTTTGGATAGAATAACGAAGGGTTAAAACCTCTGTCAAGTCTTTATTGGAGAATTTTGCCCCATTTCCCGGTAACCAGGATCGGACAGGAGCACAATTTCTCCAGCAGCAACCAAAAGAGCAATAAATAAAATGATTTTGGTAGGGTTAGGAGGGGTTTAAAGTGTAACTCCACCTTTTGTGTCAAATCTGATTCTGCACAGCCAGCTGGCAAATATGGTTCTACTTCATACATTTTGTTTCATTTACTTAGACTTTTGATAGATGTACCTTCTAGGATATGTTCCAGTATTGCTCACTGCTAAGGGAATCAGTCTCTAGCTGTCTGTGATTAACTATGAAATGATTCTACAGACACAGCATTACACTTGTTCTACAGTTCTTACATGGAATAATGTTGGCACATTCTTATATGGGCCTAAGGAAAATTCAAGATTATCTACAAACACAATGGATCAAAATGTCTTTCTAAAATTGATTTATTTTGTGCTTTGGAAATTGTTAGCCAAAAGAGTATATTAAAGGCTAAGTTCACCTTTGGAACATGCTATCTTCCCCCTGTATTTAGGGTGGAGCATGTAACATGTTCCAGCTCCTACCTCTCTCCTCCCAATCCCCTCCCCCTCCCTGTGACAGCAGACGGGGGTTCTTACCCCCGCAATCCCTGTCACTTTTTAGACACATCATGGCTATGCCTGGCTTCACCCACACAGCTGCATCATTCATTCCTAGATTCCTGTGAATGAATAAACTAAGTATCATCTGCAACCTCAAAATCCCACACTGCAAGGGTTAACTGCTCATTTTTAGGGACTTGGTGAAGCACTTAAATTTACCTGATCCTCCACACCGCTAAACCATTCCCACCAGCCTCTTCTCCCCCATGCTCCAACAGTCTAATGTGCTCTGACATCATCAGGACTAATACAGAGCCCAATGCCCTGCATTGGATGGAAGGATGTTGAGGACCAGTCTATTGCTGAAGCATGGAGGAACACCATATATAATTGAATTGATATTCTAGAATGCAGCCAAGCTCTAGCAGTCCTCTGAAAGACCAGTTCTGGGGACCCAGCTATGTCACTTTCTGTTATGTACAAGTGTCTATTATGGTTCGGTGGTTTGTATCTGTGTACATGGACACCAAATAACCAATGGTAGGTAAGAAACGCATACAACCTTACTACTTCATCCTTCAAAGAATACAGTTTGGCCTGAGAAAACGTCATATTATGCTATTCCCAGTTCTCCCCCGTACTTGATGTTGTGTCTGTGTTAGACCTGAGAAAGTTAAATATCTCTCCAACAGTTAACAATCACCTTATCAGTTATCAGTTGATGCTGGGACTGAGGAATGAGACTCTTCAGACCAGTCACATCCATAATTCAGCTGGTCTCAGTGTGGGAGGAGCAGTATATGTCTAGCTGTAGAATTACCTTTTCTTTAGGACTACATTGTTCGGTTCAGTATCTTACAACAGTGGCCTTACACAACAATCAGCATTTAAAGTGTACCTGTCAACTATACATGGCGGCCATTTATTTAGCTGAACCAATATAGAAGTGGAAGAGAACTCAGCAGTCATATTTTCCAGGCTCAGTTTAGCCTGTGTGGACAACACTCACCCAGTGGGTCCTGTTTTGCCTGGTATTAGCTTGATAAAAGGGCTTCATTTGATCTGCACCCTCTTCTACTGAGAGTCTTCAAAGTAGGGTTGCCACCTCATCCCTTTAAAACCAAACACATATTAACAGGGGCGGACTGACAACTCATGGGGCCCCCGGGCAATAGGGGATCACGGGGGCCCTGTGTCCTTGCCCAAACTCAAAAAAGCCTATGAAAAAGATACCAGGGGCATCTCATGGGGCCCCCTACTGACCTCGGGCAGTGCCCGAGTTTCCAAATGGTCAGTCCGCCACTGCATATTAATTACACAGGTTCTGGGGCTGATTAAGGCAGTAATTAAACTCACTTAGTGTCCTATCTGCAATAAATTAGCCTCAGAACTTGTGTAATTACTATGTGTTTGGTTTTAAAGGGATGAGGTGGGAACTCTACTTCAAAGACTCCTTTTGGCCAAAATTGACAACCCTTTTCCAGAGGGTTCTGTATCGCTTGGTTCTGGCTCCTGATTCTAAAGATATGCATAACATTTGTAGCACTCTCCTAGATAGGTTGCTTGGATGATTAGGAAAATGTAGCTCTTTTTGGCCCCTCTGTAGTCAGTGGATTAGTTTGTGATTGCTTTGGGCTGTTCAGGATATCTCTGGCTTCAGGTTTGATTGTTTCCCCTCTGTCTTTTGGATTCAAAAATGCAGTTTGCTGGATAGGGCAAATCAGCAGCGTGAATGTTTATACCATTCCCTGGGGGAGGCTACCCAGTAGGTGGCTGAGGAGTGCATAGTCTGCAACCTGGGGAAGCCCTGTTCTTGTGCAGCAGGAGAAGTTCCCAGACTGAATGGCTGTTGCCCTTCAGGGCAGCTCAGCTAAAAATTTTTCATGTGCTCACGAAGGTCCCAGCTAGGTCAGAGCTGGGGGCTTACTTCTGAGAATCTTTGGAACTAACCAAGGGATTTCACTGGGAATTTGGTTTGAAGAACTCACTGGCAAATGTCTGGATGATACTGGGGGCTTACTTCTGAGAATCCTTGGAACTAACCAAAAGATTTCACTGGGAATTTGGTTTTGAGAGCTCACTGGCAAATGTCTGGATGATATTGGAAGGAGGCATCCAGTTATTCGGGGACATTGTGAGTCTAGGATTCTACTGACTGTTTTGCCTCTTGTGCACGAGTGCCAGTGGTTGCTTTGACTGGGTCAATTCCTACCAAGTCTCAATACTGGCAATTCTCTTAGCTCCTGCTGTAAAGAAGAATAGGGGAGAACGTTCTCCTGTTACTGCATAGTGGTGCTAGAGTATCCCAGATCTCCTTTCAAGTTATTCAGCAATAGATCTAGGCTCAGACTATATTGGCCATCAGACTGAAGACATCTATCTGCAGAAAAAATTCTTTCACAAAGGATATTTTTGGCTTGAAGATGAATATTGCAGCAAAAACTGATTTTATTATTTCCTTTATTGAGCTGTTCATGTTTATCTTGCTATTTTTAGGTGGAGTTCTGGCTTAAACTGTATATTGTTTCAATGCTGTCTTTTGGTTTGGGTGAAAGTGAAGGGTTAGGACCTCTGTCAGTTTTTTAGTGTCTTTGGCATCATCATTGGACAGACCACCCTCATTTCCTGAATGTAGCTTCTTGACCTAGATATATTGATTAACTGTAAGAGGTCAGCAACCTAATTGTGCTGTCAGGCAGGGGTGGTTGGATCTCAAAATCCATCTGAAAAGAACTAGAAATTGTTCTTTCGGTAACACAATTAACATAAAGGTATTTTATTATTAAGCTGTAAATACTCATAGGGTTTCCGTTTTTAAAAATAGCCAGTACTATAATCTACGGCAGACTATTATAAACAGTGTAGTAAGGCAC